TTTTTTTTTTTCCCAAATATGTTAAAGACAAGTCAGCTGAAGCATAATACAGTGAATTTCTCTGTGACATCATAGTCGCAACACGTGATACAGCATAACAAACCTCTGCTCCCTAAATTAGTGAGTAGAGTATAGGGGTTTTGGTAGTGATTATAATGCCGGTCCCATACTCTACCCAATCTTCTTTCCAAACTCGAAGTCTGCTAATTCGAGCTATGGCATTCGGTTTAAGGGAGCAGTTACAGTTAAATTTGTCGGAATTAGAAGTTTGACTTTTTAGTGAAGTCACAACGCGACCAGCTCCCAGTTGGCTTGAGAGCTCAGTTGGTAGAGCACTGCACCGGTATCGGAAAGGTCATGGGTCCGAATCCCGTTTAAGCCTAAATTTTTTTCAGACTTTAATTTCACAGCTACTTAAGTTGTATACATAACTGCGATGATCAATCATGCCGTCTTAATATCTTTCTCCGCAGTTCAAATAAATGAATTTCATTTCTCATACAGTCTATCTTTCTGTCTAGGGTCGAGGGTAATATTCTTTTTTCTCATTTTCTTTTTCTTCAAATGTCACAAATCGTAGGAGTTGTGAATCGGAGGCTTGTCAACCCCATTCACTACATTGAAGTTTGTTTGCTTTGTCATTAACATCAAACCTAATATAGCAAAATGTTGGCGTGACTTCCGGTCAGACGATCAGTCGAACTTTTTAATAAATGTTCTGAAATACATGCCGTAACTACACTGTAACTACTAGCTATTACAAAGGAAGAGCGCGGTGGAGGAAACGTTCAAAAAAGGTCTTACCGTCGCTTGCAACTGCCGGTCAATCAAAATTGAAAGTTTTGACAATCAAACTTCAAAGTTAACCCGCCCACTTGGGAACGTTTTGGCGCCACTCCGCAAACACTTGAAGAGGAGCAAAGTCAGCAACGCGTACGGGCATTTTGTCTTTTGCAGTTTTGAAAATCAGAATTAATTATAGGAAATCAATAAAGGAATTTCTGTTGGATATCGACTGTGATCTTTTCCAATATCCAGGGGAATTAAGAAAGAAAGAGTTCACCTCAACAATGTCCGCGCGGTATCTAACTGAAGATGATCTTCATTTTCTCCCTGAAGACCACAAATGGTAACAAGAGACTAGTCTTGAACATGATTGCTCGGCTAAGAACGCCTGACAGAGTAAAAAGCAGCTTAAAGCTTCAAACAGCGTCAACACAGCGGTTACAAAGCCCTGAATCAAATTTAAAATCTCCTACTCGAAAAAAGGTTTCCACGTCGGGCTGAACTGAACAATGATGCGGACGAGTATCGAGTACGGAAAACGAGCGACGTTCCTCTTCCGAGAAGCAGGCGTCAGTTACTTAGCCATGTGAAAGGTTCATTGAGGAAAAGACAGGGGCACCCAACGGATCGTTTCAGTAAATTATCTGTTCGGAAGGCTTTTAATCCCCTCTGATTTTCTGAAGAAAATTGGCACCTCGAACTTTCGTGATATGAGAAATTTAACGTATGTTGTTTTCGAATTGCAAAAAATGTTGTTTTGAGTACCGAAAAAAGGTCAGGTATCATTTTCGGAAAGGCGATAAGACCTAAGGTTTTCGGGGAATGGACAAAAAAGCCCTAATAAATTCGAGAATACTCAAGCTCCCCTAGAATAACCGAACAGATATATTGTTTTTAGCGCAACCTAAAATTAATTAACAGAGCTTTAAAAAGTAATCCAGATAGCCTAAAGTAGCGTTTAAAAGCATTTGAGAGAAAACGGTCGTTGGGTGCCCCTGAAAAGAGGCAAGAATTAAAGGTTAAACTTAAAGTGCCTATGAAGTAAGAAATAATTCCTGCTTGTTGGAAAGGCTTTTAAAAGTAAAGAAGAATGGTCTTTTCTTTTTTGGAATATTTTTTTCGTTTTAGAGATATTTACGTTTTTGTAAGGAAAGTGATGACGTCATAGGTGGTTCCACTAAAACAGCACAACACTCAATCAAGAATAACTCTAGAAATATTTAAGCAGTGTTCTTTAAACTTGGCACCAGAAATGTACATCACAAAAGAAACGTAATGACACCCGTCGTGTCATTGCCATGACAACAGTTATGTCGCTGGGTCTATTTTAATTACGATTAAAATTCCCAGATTTTATCTTAAACAAGGATCATCCACTCCTACCAATCGAATGGGGAGAGTTAAGACAATATGGGAACCATGTGTGTTCCGAGCAAGACCCTCTGTGCCACTTTAAAAGGTTGCAAATGGAGATATTTGGTTTTTCACAGAAAGAGATTGGAGCCAAGAGTGTTGCCATGGCAACAACACAGTAGACGGCATTCTATTTCATTTGTGATGTACATTTCTGGTGCCAGGTTTGAAGAACACTGCTTTAATATTTCTAGAGTTATTCTCGATTGAGTGTTGTGCCGTTTTAGAAGAACCACCTATGACGTCATCATTNGTTCGAATCCCATTGAAGCCCTGATTTTTTTCAGGTTTCTTCTTTCCAATTGCTTAAATTGGAAAATTAACTGCGATGATCATTCTTCACTTTCACAATTGCTCAACTAAGAGAGACTGTCCTGGTGTGGTTCAAAGGTTTTGGAGCTGTACTCCAGGACTCTCTGAATTGTTCAACAACTTTCGACACTGTCTTTGCATCTACGTGCAGCCCTCTTTCCTCCCTATACGAATAAAGTTGTGTGGGTTCTATCACTTGGTTTCGTAAATCACTTGACAGTGGTACACCTTGCTGGAAATTCCTACTTCATGTCTTGCCAAGTGGCAAATAAATCAGCTACGATCATTTGCACAGTTGGCGTTAAAACGTTCCCAAGTGGGCAAGTAAACTCTAAAGTTTGATTGTCCAAACTCTGAATTTTGATTGGTAGGCAGAACATATTTTTGTCACGTGTGTGGACAGGTAGTTGCAAGCGATGGTAATGGGATTTTCAATGCCATCTTCACGGGTAGGCAAAGCAGTCAGAGTTTACAGTGTTTGTATAAGTATCCGAAGGCAAATAACTTTTTCAAAAATTGAACTTTACATGTTAAAATACTTGGTATAAGATTGTATTCACCAAGTTTGAAGGATCTAGCTTGCCTAGAAGACGCTCAATTAATTTTTCTAATTTTCCATACATTTGTCTGTAAATTTGGCTGGGTAGACGCGGTTCGCGAGAAAAAATATAGCCAAACGTATGGGAAATTAAAATTAACTGAGCGTCTCCTAGCCCAGCTACGTCCTTCAAATTCGGTGAATACAATCTGCTACCTAGTATGGTAAAGTTGCGATTCATGAGTCGTGCAAAATCAAGTTGTTTGCCATATAATTTCTGATCTCTTTGCCTACCTGGCAACAAGATGGCGTCGAAAACCGTCATTACAGGCCTATTGCTTACATGGTTGGAAAAGGTAGTTCCATTTTCCTCCGGGCAGTGTATGAGGTCGCAAAAGCACAAACAAAGCGTCGATGATGCAAACGACGCTGGAAATACCGAGCCAAAGAACAACCAAAAATGGAAGAGTTCGCGTCGTTATTTTGGATTGTGTTCCACTTTGAGGAGCCCCCTGATCAGAAGATGAGGGGGCAAAATCTATCCTTTTTGGGGGAGGCTCACTTCTTTTATGTTCATTCTGCAACCGCTTTAACTTTCGAAGAAGAGGGCTCCTCGTCGTATTAGTTACAGGGCCGACGTCTTCACCAAAAGCCTTGAGTTGGCGGCGTAATTCAGTGTCCGAAATTTCAACAGCTGCCATTTTGTTGGCATCAGGCAACATTGCAAAGAAGGAAAAACATAAGCACGCAAAGCGTGCAAGAGTTAGATAAATGTTAAATGTTGAATGTTGATAGTGGTCGATGCACTACAACAAGCTACAACAAGCTACTTTTCAGGCATGCCAATGAACATAACAGGCTCAAAAATCCCAACTGGCGGAAGGCAGACCAGTTGGCTATTTACAAGCGTGATCGAGGAGTTGAACTGAGGTCTCAAGAAACAACTCCAGCTTAGTGGTCAGAGCGAGACTTGAAACCGCGACCTCCGGATTTCAAGTCCGGCGCCTATAGCCACTTGGCCACGCTGCCCCCTCGGAGGCAGCGTCAAATGGGTGTTGGTTTTTGAATTAATAGTACACTTCCCTGAGCAAATGCAATAATTTTCCTCTTTTGGGAAAAATACATTTTAGTAACAGAACTAGTATATATTTTAAAGTCACAGCACCAAGAGAACAGCATTCAGGAAAATTTGTTACACCAGGTAACAAAACAAATATCGTTATCTTAAAATAATATTTAGAAACCAATAAGTTGGCTACACTTTTTACTAACTTCTCCAAAAATTCCTTACCAAGATCTTTCGCCCCTAAAAGTCACAAAAATCCTATAACCTCCTAAAAGACCCCAGCTAGATCACCAATTTCAAACTCGAAAAGGGTATCACACCTCCCTGGCACTATTATACCTCAGTCCCGAGGGGGTGTACTCCCTTATATGAGCTATATAGGTATGTGCAGCCCTAAAGGGTATGGTTTTTCAGCCGATTTTAGCCTATTTTGGCCATTTTGGNAAACAATCATTATTAACAATATGTTGATGCGTGTTCTGAGAAACAAGTTTAACCGCCACTTTGGATTCTATAATCATGCTAAAATGAACGAGAACTGTATATTTCCCCCCAGTTATCCAGTTTACTTAGAAGACAAGAAAGCACAAACGGAAAACTTTCACATTTAAAGAAATATATGAACAAAAGATTTCCATGGAAAAACTGACCAAACCATATGAGGAAAAAACTTGTCAAGTCATGTCGGGAAAATGAAACGAAACGAAGCGCTAATATTTCTTGAAAATGAAATAACGGACATTTGAAGTCTGTGCATACTACAATTTGTCTAATAAGAAACTGTTGAAGGTTGTTGATCGAACTGCTCACCTTTAACTGTTAGAAGTTGATCACGTGGGGGAAGATTTCTTAGAAGCGCTCATAAGATGTTGTTGTTTTCTGGATGAAAAATGGCAGTTGACTCTTGAGCTGATCATGTTACCATCAGCACTGAGAACTTCTCAAGTCTGCAAAATAAATAAACTAAATGTGATGCCTGCTTTCTCGCCCTTTGAAATCCTTCACTCCAATTTTTCAAGACCATTGCTAATGTCTTATTAATTACTTTTATCATACATTTTGTCATACTTTTCACTTAACTATATTCAATTTGTAGCCATTGTTTGGAGGGCAAAATTTTCAGAAATCAAGAGTGAAATCAGAAACAAGTTATCTTTCCATTGCAATATCCAGAGAATATCGAGTCAACGACCCAAAGTTAATGCTTAGTTTGTAATTTCCTAGTAAAATGATAAATGTGAATAATTTGCAGTGTAACGAATTCAAGAAAATCATATCGTTTATAGGAAAAATGCATATTTT